GTGTGATATTATTCCTAACTTCCCATATTTTTATCTGATGATTTATTTTGCTAATGTTTACATTTTTGAATATCAGTTTTTGTTGTTTAAGTGTGATGATTTGTTTTGGTTGGTGTGGCTTTTATTTTTTTTTTAATTTAATGAAAAAACAATTGCTAAACAGTTGTATGACTGAATTCAACTATTGTTTCTTAACACACATAGAAAACAAAACTTAAATATTCCTTCTGTTTCTTTTTCAAGTTATGTGAGAGAAGAATTCAAAAAGGCCAGGCATATTGCCCAATGTGTTGTGCAAAATGTCATGATTATTTGAATGCTCATCAGACAAACTTTCGGGCACCTAGTCAAGGGAGAAGCAAGCCCTTAGAGAAAACCACCGTCCTCAGGTTATTAGCTCTAATTGTTAAGGCAACCAACGAAACAACAATACATCGTTTACAAACAGTGCTGTGTACACATGAAAGGCAACCAAAGTTTAAAAGATGAAAGTGGAGGCAGAAAAGAAAGGGGGAGGGGGCGAGACACAGCACAATTTAGTTAAAATAAAAATGAATTTGGGAGACTTTCAAAATTCCTAACCAATTTCATAAATATTTAAAGAACTTAATCATAACATTTAATCTTTCTTCTTTCTCATTAGTATTGTACCCTTGGGGCTTAGGAAATCTCTCAGGACCAGAAATATACTGAGAGGTAGATGAGTAGATTGAGACAGAGAAATTTCTCTTATTGGTTCCCCAATTCTAACAGCTTTCAGTAAACATTTTTTTAAAAGATTGTATCTATGAAAATTTTGAGCCTGGAGTGGGGGCAGGAGAAGAGGGAAGGAGGAAGGAAATATAACCATCCAAAACTTGGAGAAAAAAGAAACATAAGAGAGATAAATGGATTCAATTAGAAAAAAAAATACTAGGCAATAAAATAAATATTTTCACTATATAGGGCTAGCCACACAATATCTTTGAACATTTCCCTTCCTTCCCTCCCATGTGAGTTTGGCTAGATTTTCCCTAAAAGATGATTTTTTTAAAAGTGATATATCCAAGACTTGATTGTCCGGGAAATGGGGCAAGGCTCAATCTGTGCCTACCTTGATACAGTATCCAGGTTTCTGGTTGCCTTGACTTTACTTCCAGGTCCCTTAAGTACATAAAAAGGCCCACCCACATGAGGTGAGAATCCTTAACACTTGATGGATGCCCCAAGACCACATAGGTCACCAGACCCTGCAGACCAGACACATTTCCATATGGAAAGAGGAGAGGTCAAGTCCACCAAAGCTAAGTGCTATTGTAACCTTGTTGAGTATCCTTATCCTGTTAGGGACCCTGAACTGTTCCCTGCCTTATGTAGTGTCTCTTTCTATGCACGTAGAAAGATATTGGGGGGAGGGGAGGAATTGAAGAGGCAGGGAGAAGGAAAAGAAATCCCTTCTACCAACTGTTGAATGATCTGTGTGTACTTTATTTCATCCTAAGACTGAACCTGAACTAACAGGGTACTTGTTGGCCCAATACCAATACAAGGCTAGGGCTGTGAGTTGTTTTTGTTTTTTTCTTTTTTAAAAAATGTTCACATTAAGGGACGTCAAGAGAACAAAAAGAAAGCATCAATGGGCAAAACAATCTAAGGGGCCATTTGTAGTACTAATCTAAGAACCTTCCCCAAACTGAAAGTGAGCAGCTACAGACTTTGCAAACCACATTAAGTATTCCTGTAGCTGCTATAGATTTAAGGGGTCAAAACATCAGGAAGAGGAAAGATCAAAAGATTGAAAGAATGTTTCTGAGTTAGGGAAATTAGTAAATGAAAGTTTCGGGAGGAGGAAAGAGAGTAACTTAGAAAAGAGAAACTCCAAATGATTGTCATTTAAATTAAAAGAATAGATGGAAAAGGTAAAAAATAGGAGGTGACAGGACTGGGAAAAATAAGGATTTTTTAAAGGAAATAATAAAAATAAAAATAAATATTCTTTGAGGAGGATACCAGTGGGACAGTTTACCTTGTCAGATATTTCCCATTTCTATAGAACTCATCATTTTTTCTCCTATTCAGGGAAAGGGTCCAGAATTATCTCTCTGTTCTATGAAGATTTTCAATATTTACATCATAGCTGGTCATAATCAATTTGTATATTTATATGTTAATATATTAGTTATAATATATTAATTTGTAGGATGATTTCATGTAAAGACTATAGCTATATTACTAAAACATACATATGTATGCATGTATGTGTAAATATATATATATATATATGTATATAACTCTGACTCTGATCTTAATCAGCAATGCTCTCATTCATCCAATTCCTCCTTAATTAATTTGTCTTACCAAAAAAATGCATCCAATGGATCCTATAACCTGAAATTCTCTTTCAAGTGCCTACTAGGTTCCTAGTAGATAGTCTGAAAGAAAGTAGAAAACTGGAGAACATCTTTTTTTTTAGTTTTTAGTTTTAGGGCAAAGTTGGGATTTCATTGGCTTGTATGTTCCCTTAAGAAACTCCCTCTACCAATACAGATCATCAACTTTCTGCAACTTTAAAAGTTGCCTGGGGTACTGAATAACTGGGGTAGCTAGGTGGTACAGCAGGTAGAGTGCCGGGCCTGGAGTCAGGAAGGCTCATCTTTCTGAGTTCAATCCAGCCTCAATTATTAACTGTGTGACCCTGGGCAAGTCACTTAATCCTGTTTGCCTCAGTTTCCTCATCTATATGGCAAACCATTCCAGTAGTTTTGCCAGGAACACCCCAAATAGAGTCACAAAGAGGCAGACATGACTGAAAAATGAGTCAACAACAAATTGAGTTACTTCTCCAGGGTCACACAGACAGTAAATATAATAGGTGGGACTTTTTTGCACAAGGGGCTGTGCTAGACCCTGAGATTATAAAAATAGATACAACACAGGCCCTGCTCCTAAAGAGGTTACAACATAATGAGTAACTAGATAAATAATCAAATAAATAAGAGCAAGCAATTTTCAAAGAAAGAAAGCCAAACTATCAACAATCACATTGGGGGCAGCTAGGTGGCACAGTAGATAGAGCACTGGCCCTAGAGTCTGGAGGACCTGAGTTCAAATCCAGCCTCAGACACTTGACACTAGCTGTGTGACCATGGGCAGGTCACTTAACCCCACTACCTAGCCAAAAAAAAGAAATCACATTTAAAAAATGCTCCAAATTACCAATAGTTATACAAATTAAAGCAATTCTAAGGTTCCACCAAACACCCATCATATTGGCAAAAATGACAAAAGAGTAAAATGACAAATGTTGAAGGGATTGTGAGGAAATAGTCATACTAAAGCACTATTGGTAGAGCTGTGAAATGATCTGTCCATTCTGGAAAACAGTTAAAAACTGTAGCCTAATAATAATAATAATAATAATAATAATAATAATAATAATGATAACTAAACTGCATAGCCTTTGATCCTGGGCCAAAGAGATTTTTTTTTAAAAGGGAGGGAAAAGGAAAGATCCAAATGTACAAAAATGTTTATAGCAGTTCTTTTTTTTTTAAAGGCAAAAAAACCTGGAAAGTAAGGGAGTATGCACCTATTGGGGAATGGCTAAACAAATTATACTAAAGAATGAAATGATAGATTATTTCACTGTAATAAATGATGAAATGGGCAATTCAGAAGAAACTAAGAAGACCTCTGTGAGCTGATGAAGAGTGAAGTAAATAAAATTAGGAGGATGATTTATACAATAACAACATTAAAAAGAAAAACAGTTTTGAAACAAACAGAACTCTGATTAATGCAATGACAAACCATGATTCCAAAGGACCCAAAAATGAAGCTAGCTACTCATCTCCTGACAGAGAGGTAATGGACTCAAAATGTAGAATGAGACATACATGGACATAGCAAATGTGGGAATTTGTTTTGCTTGACTATGCATATTTGTTATGATGTTGAGGGAAGGGAGAGGGAAAGAAAAGAGATGCCTGTTAATTAGAAAAAATAATAATAAAATTAAATTTTAAAAACTAATTAATGGGTTAAAAATGAGTTAAAATTTGCTAAGAAATATGGGAAAATGAGGAAGGTACAAAGGAGAGAGGTCTAGGAAAAGTGCTATAATTCATTAGAAGAGGGAGAAATTTCATTTTCATCTAAAATAGGCATACAGACAGCCCCAAAAACACTAACCAAAACATAATAATGAAAAATCATCTTTGTTTTTTAAAAATGCAATCATCCCCAAATGCTATCTTTCTTAGAGGAGGCCAAGCAGGAGACTAACACAGGGTTCCTGGCCACAGCATGGTTGAACCATCTTGATGCTAGTAATGACACTCTTGAATTATCTTATGAATAGCCCAGAGAAAAAGGAAAGGCAAGAATAACTGAAAAAGGGAAGAAACGCCTAAACTTTAAGAGACAGAAATTATACCATCTGCAAGCAGAGTCTAGGCAGTGAAATATGAGACATATGGGGCCTGTGTGGATTGCTTAGCTATGCAGGGCATTACATAGCCGCTAATATTTAACCAAATGAGGTCAATGTGAAACAATCCTGCTCTAACTGTGGGATATTAACAAATCTCTCCCTTCTCTCCTTCTCCCAAACAAAAATCTTGAGGTAGTTTGTCCACATTCTCCAGCAGAATTTTAGGAGTTTCAGAGTCCTCTAAAACATAAATAGAACGAGCCACTTATGACTCGTGTACCTCCCATCTCCAACCCCTCTCCTCAGTATAAGAAAGTGGAAAAAAAAAAAAAGAAACAGGAGAACCAGAATGACGTACAGAGTGTCTCCCGTTCAGACTCCAGGCTTTCATTTTCAAATTCTTGTAACATTTGGACTAAATCTCTTGTAGGTAAGGAAAATCTCCCACCCCCATCCTCAACCCCATTGCATTCCCCTGGAAAATTCAGAGTTCCCTTTTCACTCAGAAGTTGCTATTCAAACAAAATGAGAAACTCCCGGGCTCTCCCTTGGAGATAGAATTCAGAACATGAAAGACGTTGTCCCCTACCTTCAGTCCTCTCCCATGGAAAACAAAACAGCCACAGAACTTCCTTTGGAGTTGTGGTAAAAGGCACCCTGGGGGAAAGGCAATCCACTTACACAGGGCTTGCCTCCTGGGTGGTTAGACTCATGCTGAGGACACCAACCCCATCCTCCCTCCCACCAGAGTAGGAGGGAACAGACCAAGACCCAGCATCAAGACAAGCTATTTTTAAGTTTGTTTCTGTCTGGAAAAAAAAATCTGTGGTTCTCCTAGCTAAGAAGAAATGCCAGGAATTCATTAACCAGATCCAAATGTGTCCTTGTACTCTGAAACATAATTTAGGGGTAATGATTATCAGTAAGGAGGGAGTGAACTGAGATGGGCTGTACCCTCCAAAACAGATTGACCAGCCTCCCAGAATACCTAAAATTTCACTGCAATAATTCACTCCTTTCAACTAAAACAGAAGCTTTTTTTTTTCAATTTCCTGGGGGGAATTTTTTTTTCTATTGAGAATCATTGAATCACAGAAAAGAAAAAAAAAAATCAAGGACTACAAACAAGCAAAAAATCAATATGGTTTAGTTTAAAGAATATAGGTAGTTGAGACTATGTCCCTCTTCATGTATCCCCATCACTTAGTATGGTACACTGTACATAGCTGGTAACTCAATAACTGTCTGCTGAATTTTAAAGAATTAAGATTTAACTTTTTTTTTGCTTTTTTTTTGGAATTTATCTCTTTTTAGCTAAGAACAGGAAACATAAAATTAATATTTTTATAGCTAGGGTGGGGGTGGAGTTGGGGGAAGAAATCTAGGGCAAAAAGAGTAAGATAGAAGTAGAGAGGCTTCTTGCCACAAAAGGAAAAGCAGAAGAAGACAGCAAGGTCAATAGAGGCAGAGACACCCAGGTAAGAAAAGGAAGCAGGAGCAGCAGCTAGTGGGAAGCAGGAAGGAGAGACTAAGGGAGAGAGAAAGGCACCTCTGCCTATCACCCACTCAGCTCTATAGTCTCACAATTCTACCTTTACCAGGGATACCATTGGTGTTAGTTATCAGTATGAGAACAACTGTATTGTCTCCACTCCTTTGCCCTTCAGGAATGGCTATCGGAAGGCTAAGTGAATGGAACTATTTCTTTCCTAAAATCCCTGGCTTCAAAGTAGCTTGGGTATTCTCTAAGGGCTGCCTGGGTTTAAGAGGGCTGCCAGCCCATAGCCATGTAGTAGATGATTTATGATATATTTGTAATGCCTCCCCTAGATGGGATAAGAATGTCTTGGATCTGCATGGACTTCTAAGATTTGGAATTCTATTCATCTCCCGAGTCAAGAACATATTGCCTAGATTGGGATTGGGGTGATGGTAGGAGTTGGGGGGGGGCATGGAAGAAGGAAGCAGGGCTTCCTCTGACATATGGAACATTGGCAAGACAGAGGCAACTGGGGTGATGCCATAAGTCTTCTCAAACCGATATCTCTGGGGACACTAGAGAGATGAAAGTTAAGAGGGGACACAGCAAAGTATAAGACTGAATTTTTATCATAGCATTTGCTCAGGTGGGTGGAGTGCTGGAGAAAAAAAAAGACAGGAATTGTTGATCCTTATTCCCTTCCACTGCTTTATTCCAGATGAATATAATTGGTACACATTTCAAAGCATGTCTTTTTTTTCTTCTTGCAAACTACATACGACTGCCCTATGCTAAGAGTAAAATCTGTACATAACATGCAAGCATGCCTTTTCTGTTCCTGTGGAGTCACTTGCATTATGCCAAGGTCACAGGACTAGGTCTCAGCGAAATATAGCTTATGAAGAGGTGAGGTTTTGCCCATAGGATGGAGGCTCAGAGCTAAGTGAATAGGTAAAGCCATACCACCCACACCCACTAGAATGACAAGTTGGCTCAGTCAACTAGAGAAAGGTAAAGCTGAAAGATGTTTTCAACTTCTGAGAATCATAGAGACCTTGAAACCCTCAGCAGTGTGAGGCCCAAAGCCTCCCAGGTGATCATGGGATAACCCAGTTACTGATGCTTCCTATTGAATAGGATCAGATTAGTGGCTAGCAGTGTCACCTAATGGTTAAATACATCACCTTGTCCATATCCTTTTGTAATCATCTACCTTAATCATTACTTTAGATTATTACCTTTCTTTTTTCTCAGAGTTTAGTACCTGGCTCACAGTTATGCTCTCATGCCCAATACCTGTTCTCTTCATTTCCTACCTGAATGTATTATGTCACCCAGAAACTTCATCATTCTGCAAAATGGCATAACCCTAGAATTCAACCCCAACAGTCCCCCTAATCCACTGTTTGAGTCCTCCATCCCTCTGACTGGAGAAGGAAAAGGATAAAGAACAGTGAGCTCCTCCAAGACCCTCTTAGGATGGTCCAACCATCTCTTCATTTCCCATCAGGATATACTCCTCTAGACTGCATCATGCCCCCATGCTAGGTACCCTGTGTACCTTTTTTGCATCTTTTTTATGCGTTGTCTCATCTATTAGATTGTAAGCTCCTTGAAGGCAAGGATTGTCTTTTGCTTTTCTTTGTATCTCTAGTACTGAGCATAGTGTCTAGTACATAATAGGCACTTAATAAATGTTTATTTACTAATAAACTGACTGACTTCAATATACTCCTTGATGTCTGGTCAAACACCCTGGCTCCACAGCTCATCAAGTATCTCAACTCTTGTGACCTTCAGTGGTATATGAATTACTTGGGACGAACAATAATTGTGATGTGGTTTCTTTTTAATGACAGCAATGGTTAAGCTATATGCTTTTACCAACCCCAGATTGGCACAGAATGTCTGACCTTGACCAGATAAGCCAGACTGAACTGCTTTCCTCACCTTCAGCTAGTTCTTTGTCAGTTGAAAGCTGTATTCCATGCCATACACTAGTCTCATTTCTCTCTTTCATTGTGTTTTTAATTCTATGGTTTTTAAGATTAGATATTGCTCTGAGGAAATGTGAAAATGTAGCTATTGAAGAGCACACTTCAATAACTGTCAGAGATACTGCAATGATTTTTGATGTGGGTAAGTCAAGTGTTTCAATATTGTCCAAGCCTACTCAGTTACACTAAAAGGGAAAGAAAAGAGAGGTTGAAAATGAAAATGTCAAAAACTGACAAACTAATGCCACCAAACAAACTAATTAATCCTCAGAAAACAAGCCTGCTGCTTTCAGAAGAACCAGACAGCTGGAAGAGTTTCCTTTATAGGGCAATATAAACTTCTTGAAGGTGGGAGAATATTGGGAACATTAAAAAATCAACTAACATTTTTATGAAAAAATGCTCCTATGAGGCAAAACAATACAAAGACTTTTTGTTGGTCAGTTGCTTTCAGTCATATCTGACTTTTTGTGACCTCATTTGGGATTTTCATGGCAAAAATGCTAGGGTGATTTGCCATTTCCTTCTCCAGCTCATTTTGCAGATGAGGAACTAAGGGGAAAAGTGTTAAGTGACTTGTCCAGCCTGGAAGTGTCTTAGGCCAGATTTGAACTCAGGAAGATGAGTCTTCCTGACTCCAGGTCTGGTACTCTATGTACCACCTAGCTGCCCTATATATAAATAGGCATACCAAAGATTAAAAAAAGATAATTTGTGCAGATAAAACACTTTTTCATTCAAAACTATACCAAAAGAAGGAATCCAGATAAAAGTATAAATAAGCATCTTTATTAGACTGTAAAACATCCTTCCAAAAAAATGTTTGGGAGATTTTATTTTTAGATTTTCATGAGGCTTAGAAGTCTATTCCCCATTGAAGGAATGATAAACTTTGACAAATATGCTAATATACTAGGAATTATGATAGTTCCAGAATTACAGAAATTCTCAAGTAAAATTGTAATACTTCTATACCATAACCTTGCTACATATCACAAAAGGTTAAGAAATTTATGGAGGACTTTGATGCTTTCATGGCCAAGTAACATACCTGACTTAATTGCCACTAAAAAGCCATGGGCTACAATAAACTACGGGTTATAAAACTATCAACTAGACTTGGGGAAATGGGCTGAATGTGTGTGTGTATTAAGGCATGCTTAATATCCAATGTGATTTTTTAAAAATGGGGTCTCATAATGAATTAAAGAATATGACAAAATCTTGTGAACTTAATGCCAAATTGTACACAATAAGTGTTTACAACAAAAGGACAAGTTGCAAATTAAAAGTTGATGTTTTTAAGATGTAGAGGTTCTGAGGTTTATTGCTTAAGTGTATACCCTATCAGTCCCCCCAATGCCACCCCTTTTGGTCCTCCATCCCTCTGACTGGAGAAGATAAAGGATGAAGAACAGTGAGCTCCTCCTAGACCCTCTTAAGATGGGTGTCCAGGCCAACCATCTCTTCATTTCCCACCTCTGGACTACATCATGCCCCCATGCCAGATACCCTCTGTACTTTTTTTAACTTCTTTTTTGTGTGTTTTTATGTGTTGTCTCACCTATTAGACTGTAAACTCTTTGAAGGCAGGGATTGTCTTTTGCCTTTCTTTGTATCTCCAGTGCTGAGCACAGTGTCTAGTACATAATAGGCACTTAATAAATGTTTATTTACTAATAAACTGATTGACTTCAATATACTCCTTGATGTCTGGTCAAACACCCTGGCCCCACAGTTCATGAATTTTCTCAACTCCTGTGACCTGCAGTGGTATATTCATTACTTGGGACTTTTTTTTCCCTTTTTTTTTTTTACTAATTTTACTTTTTTCCAGTTAATTTGCAACTAATGGGGAAGGGGGAGTAAGGAAAGTACAGAACAAATGCTTGTTCTCTCCATGTGCCAGACACGTGGGTTCAATGATCATCTCCTGATAAACATCTCCCAAATCAACATATCCATACCTTAATTCTCTCCTGAGCTCTTCTCTCACGTTATTAAATGCCTGACATTTTCACCTTGATATTCCAGAGATATATCAAGCTCAACATATCCAAATCATATCATTTTTCCCCAAAACCAATCCTTTCTATTAACATCCCTTTCTCTATTAAAGGCATCACAAATCTTGTAGTCCCGGAGGAGAAAGTGAGGCTGGTGACTTTGCACAGCCCTCACTCCCTTAAATCCAGTTCACTTGCGAGTTATGGCATCCACTTTCTGAGGTCACTTTCTTCTTCAAGAATGAGGACAAACAACAGCAGTCAATCTGGTTCACACACTTGTAATCATCCTGACCTGTTCACTCTCTCTCATCCCACAAAAATTCAATCAGATGCCAAATCTTATGGATGCCACAGTAACTCCACAGCATCCCTCACATCTGTCCCTTTCTCACTGCTAGCACAGCCACTGCCCTAAATCAAGCTATCAACATCTTTCACCTCAACTGTTGCAATAACTTTGCATTTGATCTCTCTGCTCCCAAGCCTTCGTCTCTCCAGCCCCCTTTCCCCCAGCTGACAAAATAACCTTCCTAAAATACAGGTCTGACTATATCACTTCCCTGCTTATTTTCAATCGCTTCTTCTTGCCTTGAGGATAAAACACAAACTCCTCAGTTTAACATGTAAAACTCTTCACAGTCTGGCTCTGGCCTATGTTTCCAAACTCATCTCATACCATGCCCTTTCATGTACTCTGTGTTTTAGCTAAATTGAGTTATTTGCCCTGTCCTGATCTCTACAATCCCTTATATCTTTATACAAGTAGACTGGAATGCCTTCCCTCCTCACCTCTCAGAATCTCTATCTAGATGCTTTCCAAGCTCAGTTTTGGTGCCACATCTTACAGGAAGCCTCTGATCTACTGAGTTTTCAATCCTTTTTCCTCCTTCAAATTTTCTTGTACTTACTTATCTATGTAAATGTTCTATGTGTGAATATAGCTAGGGCCAAGCTAGGCCCAAGCAGTGAGAATAATGAATCTTCTGAAATAGTTGCATGTATTCATATTTGCACAGCACATTTCAATTGGACTAGAAACAATTACCATATTTTACATAATTATAACTTCAAATAGCCCAAATCAGAATACATGTGACCATTTCAGGGGAGTCATTATTCATACAAATAGGGTTTAGCTATATGTCAAAATAATTTATCCCACTCTCTAGTCCGTCCTAGCACCTCATTCCCTTTCTAGAATCATTGATAATTTGGAAACTTTCATACTAGAAATTCCCATCTTTCATGGTACCTCCCTGCCTTTGCCATCAGGGTAGACATAGGAAAAGGTCAATTTATTTATGGGCAGGGACTGCTTTTAATTTGGTTTTTGTATACCTATCATACAACACAATACCTTGAATGTAATAGGTTGCAGTAATACAAAAAGATTCTGGTTTTCAGAGCCTAGTTTTTTTTGAAACAGATGTTCTTGCTCTGGACACAACCCCTTTTCCTGACTGTATTTCCCCTCCCTTTTCTGAAACCATCTATGCCTGGAATCTTCTATGTGTTCCAGGGTGCAACATTATCAAAATATCACTGGGTTCTTCAACATAATTAAATAAAACCATAACAAAATTTATACAGAAAATCACAGTGCAATTGTGAAGAAGAGAAAGGTTATTGATAAAGCAGAATAAATTATTAAGAAGCAAAACACAGATTTGAACACATAAGAATTTTTAAAGATTTTGTATTAAAAAATGGCCAAAATGAACAGGCTAGGGAAAAAAAAACTTTGTTACTGAAACATTTGATAGAAGTCTGACATCCAGAATCTATAAGCAAATGATACAAATTTATAAGAGAAATGCCCCTTTTCCAATGGATTCAAAGTATAGGAAAAGACAATTTCTGAAAAGAAGAAACATAAATTATAAATATTCCCTTTAAGAATTGTTTATACTCTCTAATAATCAAAGAACTACAAATTAAAACAACTTTGAAGTAGCAATTTATACCATCAAATTAGCCAAAATAATTTTAAAATTATTTAAATCTAATGTTAACAGGACCAAGGGTACATAAATACTTTTTTTGTGAAACTGTAAATTTAGGCAATGTTTTGATGGGAAAATTCTAGCAGCATACAAGTTATAAAATTGATTATACCTTTTGACCCAATGATATCATTATTGGGACTACAGTCTAAAGATACTATTAAAAGAAAAAAAAGACCTATCTATACAGCAATACTCATAACTTTTAAATTAGTAATAAAAAACTGAAAGCAGCCTTTGGATCATAAATTTAGAGCTGGAAGAGGCCTTTGACATCTTCTAATCCAGTACTTTCATTTTACAGATGAGAAACTTAAGGCTCAGAAAAGCTGTGACTTGTTCAGGTTCACATAGGTAGAAATCACCTCCAACTCAAAACTTAACATTCTTTCTGCTGCATCCCATTGTTTAAGTTTAATGATTGGGGAATGCTCAAATAAATGGCGATATAACAATATAGTGGAATGCTATTGTGCCATTAAAGAGAAATATAATGTACTGCCCCTGGAGGTAGTGAGTTCCCCTTCATTGGAGCTCTTTAAACATAAATTGGATGGCCACTGAAATAGCACTAGGGTTGGGCCATGAGTGGCTGCTTCTCTTCCAGTCTGGGCAACATAGCAATACTCAAAAAAAAAAAAAGTAATATGTAATTTAGAGAAAGGCAGTATTTAACATACTTGTTAAACCACAGGAATTGAAACTATCTCTACTGTTATTTACTGGGGGATGGGGAGAGAGTGTGTTTTGGCTTTCCTTGATCCATTCTCTCTTTGCCTTGAATGAGATTCTTATAAGTTATTGGGCAGTACTTTCGATAAAGATTTTCTGCCAATGTGTTGCTCCCTCTAATCACAGCTTTCTTCCCCCGGTTCATGTAGTTCCACAAATGCAAGGCATAGGAGGCATTGAAACTTGGTTCTATATCCCAGACTTCATAGTAACGTTTCCATTGTGGATATGAGATGGGATAAAACCGCTGGGGGTGTAAAAAGAGTAAGTTTGGACACCTGAGGTCTTTTATCTCATGAAAATCTGTAAGATTACATGATAGCTGCAGCATTCTTGTCATTAATCCAGGACCCTGGTTGCCCCAAATGTTCCCATTATAGTGCTCAATAAAATTTTCCATGCAGTCCCAAATGAAAGAGTGATGATGGTGGAACCCAAAAACGCCATTGCTAGAGAATTTAGAACTCTGTGCTGCCAGAAAATTATCCTCTGGAATGGGTCTGATGGAAATCATGTCTGTATCCATGTAGATCCCACCATATCTCCAGATGAAAGCGAGCCTACAAGCATCTGAGCTGATGTAGATCCAGTTCTTTTCTGCACTGGAATTGACCTGCAGGGATAGATAGAAATGAGTCTTCTGGGAAAAAAAAAACCAAAGCTAAAAGTTTTAGTAAAAACAAATTACCAGGCTCAGAGTACTGTTATTACAATGGCAACTTTCAAAGAATCAAAAGAAAATAATTTTATATTTGGAAAGATCATCTCATCCAAACCTTTCATTGAAGGAACTAGGCCTATGTAATTTATCCAAGAACAGGTGGCCTACAGTTGTTGTTGTTTATCCTTCATTTTCAAAGAGGACCAATGGCATCACAAGCTTAATGCCTTGACTTGCCCTCGAATTGGATTTAAGTGAGGCAGAGCTGTGCAAAGTTGTCAACCTCACTCTCTCCTCCAGAGTTGTCAGAGTCCAGTGGCAAGACAAAGGTCAAGATGACAGGATGCAGCAGGTCATGTTGACCTTTCTAAATTAAGGTCTTTCCCAGTTCTTAGTTTGTCTGTGCAAATGCATTAGACCCAGGAGTAACCAGCAGTTGGCAGAGCCTATGAGATCTATGTTTGTGAACAGGAAAGGCTGTAATACAATTGGAGAAAGCATGAATCCTTTGCAACCTCACATGTGGTCTCTATCAAAACACTAGTTTGAAATGACATTTGGTAACCTGTACTTCTCTTAGTTGTTTAGCCAGTTTGTATCTCTGAAAATTGCGACACTTCATACAATCCCTCTCTCTGAGGTTATCATCACATTATAGGTACAAAGGGCCAACGTTTTTGTTGCTGCTTCTAGACCTACCCTGAGGAAACAATGTAAGCTCTCTTAACCTGTTTCCTCATGTAAAAATGATATAAAAATCTGTAATACCTACTTCAAAGGTTGTTGTAAATCTTAACTAAGATGATCTATTTAAAGCACTTGGCACATTTTAGAACTGCATATAAATGGCTGTTATTATCATTTTCACTCCTCTCTTTTTTTATTCATGGTAGTTGTGGGGAGGGCAGTAGTAGTACAAGGGGCAACTAGGTGGTGCAGTGGCTGAAGTACTGGACTCAGACACCTGAGTTTAAATTCTGCCTCAGACACTAACTAGCTGTGTGACACTGGGCAAAACATTTAACCTCTCTCAGCCTTAGTTTCCTCATCTGCAAATTGGGCACAATAATAGCACCTAACTCCCAAAGGAAAGAGAACATGTAAGGCACTCTGTAAACCTTAAAGTGTTCTAAAAATTATCATCAGTCATACTATTGTTAAATCCTGGAATCCAAGAAAATGGTGAGTCTGAAATTCAGTATTATAATTTATAGCTATGTCCTATTGGAATGTGTATGGACAGTATTGTTTGGCAGATGAGCTGTTTAATTGAAATTTTACTTATTTATCATGCACTGCTAGTAGCAAAGAGAGATTCAAATTCCTAAGTTCCCTTGGCATCAAGAATTTCTTAGTCATTTCATAGTCTGACCATGTAGCATTTACCTTTGATACTTCCTAAATTTGTCTCATTTAAATTATTTCTAAGATACAAATATATCATCCTCAAGAAGGAAAAAAATAAACAACAACCTAAAAAGAAAGGTTAGAGTTACTAGGCATCTCATTGGACTGAGAGAGATACAGAAATTCTTCCCAGATTCTAGCAGTCATAAAAAATAAATCCAGTTTAAAAAAAAACTAAAAGAAAGAAAACTAAAGAAAAGAACAGTTTTAGAAATATCTTTTGTAGCAAATGACAAGATATTTGTCCTCTTTTCTTCCCTTTCCCATTTGAGTAACTGAGAAAAATAAACCCTGCCTACCACATAGAATATACATGGTGATAGATAGGGCCAGTAACAGAAAGGGGTTGAATAAGGAAAGGGAGAGAGCAGGGTTTTCTCCCCTCATCTTACACCAGATAAATGACATGGAAAGATTGCAGGACTGTATAAAGATTTACTAGTCAGGACCAAGAAATGAAGAGATAGGGTGATTATACTGCAGAGCCATCAGGAGTGGCAGAAAGGAGAAGGAAAGGAAAATTGAAAGAGTGGGCATAAAGGAGAGAGAGAGAGAGAGAGAGAGAGAGAGAGAGAGAGAGAGAGAGAGAGAGAGAGAGAGAAGGAAGAGGGAGGAGAGAAAGGAGGGAGTGAGAGGGAGGAAAGGAGAAGAGGAGTGAAGGAGAGACAGAAAGATATAAAGAGAGAGAGTGAGGAAAAGATGAAGGAAGGAGGAGAGAAAGAGGGAGGGAGAGAGAAAAGAAAGAAAAGGAGGGAGTTGGAAAGAAAGAGGAAGGAAGAGAGAGAGAGAGAGAGAGAGAGAGAGAGAGAGAGAGAGAGAGAGAGAGAGAGAAGGAAAGAAGACAGAGACAAAGAGAAGGAAGAGGGAGAAGAGAGAGAAAGAAGGGAGAATGAGGGAGGGAGAGGAGGAGTGAAGGAGAAAAAGAGATATAAAGAGAAAGTGAGGAAAAGGTGGAGAAAAAGAGGGAGAGACAGAGAAAAAGATGGAGAGAGAGAAATTTCCTTCCCTTTATCCCTCCCCTTTCCCTATCCTCAAGCACTAGGAAATATAGAGCAACCATCCTATTTAGGACTTATGAGGAAGAGACAGTCATAGGGAGCTTCAGAGGCAATACCTCAAGGCACTCTGGGAGATGTGTAAGTGTAATGAGAGACCAGCAAATGAGGGCTCAGTCATGGGAGCAATCAATTCCAGTGAACCTGCTTATGGAAGTGCCTAATGATGTGGAATGAAGGGCCTTACTCTCCATTTTGAAGTATATGTAGGTATTTTTGATTGTTTCTAGTCCATTAACTTCATGATAAAGAAATGAGCTTTTGAGGGCAGCTAGGTGACACAGTAGATAGAGCTCGGGCCTTGGAGTCAGGAGGACCTGAGTTCAAATCCAGTCTCAGATACTTGACACTTACTAGCTATGTGACCCTGGGCAAGTCACTTAACCCCAATTGCCTTACAAGAAAGAAAGAAAGAAAGAAAGAAAGAAAGAAAGAAAGAAAGAAAAAGAAAGAGAGGAAGAGAGAAAGAGAGAAAGAGAGAAAGAGAGGAAGAAAGAAAGAAAGAAAGAGAGGAAGGAAGGAAGGAAGGAAGGAAGGAAGGAAGAGGAAGGAAGAAAGAAGAAAGAAAGAAAGAAAGAAAGAAAGAAAGAAAGAAAGAAAGAAAGAAAGAAAGAAAGAAAGAAAGAAAGAAAGAAAGGAGCTTTTGATTGGCTGCTCAGTCAAAACTGAGTGTGCATTCAAAAGGTGCTAAACAGCTAGGGCAAGCCTCTGTCTCGCTGGTGATGTTTGTGGCAAGGACGGTTATAAGCCTGTAAGTAAAGAGAGGCAGCAACAGTCATGGGAATGATATTCTGTTAGCAGTTGCTTATCTCCCCAACCAGGACCCACATATCGCCACAAAAGAACATGGCACCTCTGTTTCTTTGCCTCTTTGTGTTTGTTTATTCTTTCCTACCTTTAGGTGAAGGCATATTGGAGATAGGACAGACTAGGTCATGACCTTGTGAGATCTCAAAAGGTACGGTAATAGGAGTCCAGACTAGAGTGTGCCACCAGTACAGCCCCAAGGAGCCACTTGCAGCACCAAGCCAAGCAGCAAATCAAAACAGCAACTGAGACACTATTTTCTGAATCAACTTTGCTATATGCATTTAAAAGTAAACTTGGCTACACAAATGCTTTATTGCAAATGCGTTAAATCTGAGCCCGTTCTCCCCAGGGACTGAGTTGGCAGAGGGGAAGATGTGCCCTTAGTTCAAAGTGATGCGTGTACTTCTGTTCTTGCTACATCTTCTTCAGTAATTATCCCTGTGTTTGAAAAGCTTATTGGGGTTAATTTGTTAAATGATACTGGAGTACTAATCACTGGTTCAATCAGTCAAATGAGTGGGATACTAAAAGTAACTATTGATTGATGCTGGAAAGGATATCACAGAATGAAGGTTCAAGAAGATGACATTAGAAAGATGCACCCAACCCCTCAGGGGCACCCCTGTAAATCAGAGGGAAAGATGTAGCCTTGCTCAGGGATCAGTCAGAGCAAACAAAATTCCCCAAAATGTCTTGGGGTCCAAAGAGAGACAGCCTTTGACATAAGACTTTTATTTTCTTTTTTACCCTTTGAACACTTACTTGAGTATACCACGAGAAAAGGGGTGTCTCCTGCAGCAAAGTTTCCATGACAAGAGGGAAAAAAAAGACATTCTCAATTGCTGACAAGAGGGAGAAGCCTGGGTAGCTAACATTTAATGGCAAATGAGTAGAATTATTATCCAGTCCTTTCATTAAAAAAATAATTGACCTTTCTGGATATATTCTAGCTGCAGACTCAACAGCACATGAAACTAAGGGAGAAGGTTCCAACCGATTAGTGGTCTCCAGGAATACAATGTTTCTTCTGTGTCTTAAAATGTCCTCAGGTTTCATCATGGCCTTGTGTACAGGTGTGCACGAAAAGAAGCATCTGGGTTTCAGCATCATTTCATACAGCAATCCAGAAGCGAACAGCAAAAAGATTGAAAGGGAGATCTGGAGCTCCTTCAGCATTGTTTTTTCTTCATAGATCTTTTTCTTTAAAATGAGAAAACAAATTGAAAAAAATGAAAATTATTTTCGGTACTGGCCTAGAAACTATCAACATCTCAATCGTCCGAGAGGCAGCATGGAGTAATGGGTAGATTATAGGACTTAAAGTCAGGAAGACTAGGGCTAAAATCCTGCCATACAAAGTTTGTGTGCAACACAGGAAGGAGAGGGAAAGGAAAATGGAAAGAGTGGACAGCAAGGGAGAGAAAGAGAGGAGGGGAAGAGGGAGAGGGAGAAGAAGAGAGGGAGAGGTAGAGAGGGAGAGAGGGAGAGGGAGAGGGAGAGGGAGAGACCTTGAGCAAATCACTTAACCTGACTAACCCTTGGTTTCCCCATCTGTAAAATGAAGGGGTCTACTAGACAATTTCTAAGGTACCTTCTAGCTATAAATCTGTGATACTATGCTCTAATACTCTCCCAAGAGAGAGCATTACATATTTGTAAATCCACAAAGTTTCTAATTTATTCAATGAAGTAAAGAAATTCACACACTAGAATTCTTTAAAGTCCTTTTGCTCAAGAATGACCTACAACTGTTGAATAATCACTAACTGTAAGCATGAGTTCATTAAGAACAGGTCTTATTTATGGAAGAAAAGTTAACAAATTGTTTCTGTCTTTATTTCTTTTCAGCTAGTTATGTGGTGGATAGAGCACTAAAGTTAGAGTCAGGAATACCTGAGTTCAAATCTAGCCTCAGACACTTATTAGCTGTGTGGGCAAGTCACTTCACTTCTATTTGCCTTAGTCTCCTCAACTATAAAATGAGGATAATAATAGCACCTACTTCCCAGGGTTGCTGTGAGGATCAAATAAGATAATATTTATAAAAGTGCTTAGCATAGTGTCTGGCACATCGTAGGCATTATGTAAATGTTTATTCCTTCCCCTCTTTCCCTTCCACTTTCCTTCCCCTCTTTAACTGCCCTATACTCCAACTGCTCTATACTTTAACTGTACTATACTCCAAGGAAGTTATTGACAACAAGATAGCATTTATAGCATTATCGGTGGGAAAAAAAATGCTAGAACCAAAATTATTTTGGAATGGGTGAGTAAATTAGGATATGTCAATGTGATATAATACTACTATACTGTAAGGAGCCACAAATATGAAGAATTTAGGGAAACATGGGAAGACTCTTATGAGGTGATAACAACATGAAGAAATCAGAGCCAAAAGAATACTGTCTTCTTGAGGACAGGAACAATTTCATTTTTGCTTTTCTATCTCAGTGCCTACCACTATAACTTGCACATAGTATGTTCTTAATTTTCATCAAATGTAATTGAGGACAATATACATAATGATGCTAACAGTATAAATAAAGTCATCATTGACAGGCAACAAAATTCCGGTCAAATACAAACCGTACTGATAGTACCATATTGTCTAACTTAAAGGACATATCTCTCCTTTCTTTTAACTATCAATAAGTTATCTGTTTTCAGGGAATATATTGGGGAAGGGGAAGAATGGAAAAGGGTAAGGAATTTGGTGTTTGGGTAGATTTTAAAAGTGTCTATGGTATCAAAATAAATTGTATCAATCATTTTTAAAGTTTATGTACTTCAAGGAATGACAAATATGAGAATTCAGACAAGCACAGAAAGAATTATAGGAAACAAAGCAAAGTGAAGAAAGTAGAGTCAAAAGAACAATATTACATTGATTACAACAATGCAAGTAAAGGCAATACCAAAAAGAAACAAGACCAAAGTAAAAGACAATGGACAGTATTGGTGCCAAATGATTAAACTGAAAACATACATTCTTCCTTACCCATAACAACGGGTAAACTACAAAACTGAAAAGTAACTTGAACCATCAATTATGATTATTCTATTATCACTGGTTCTGTGTAGTTATTACTAGGTAAGATATTGGGAGTGAGTATTTGGGTGTTTGAGGGGAAGTGTCTATTGTATAAAATCAAAATATATCAGTACATTTTAAAAGAAAAACTACCACTTAAGAAACTGGATCAATGCAATTACCACCCATGATTCCAGAGGTAATAAGTAATGCTACCCACTTTCCAATAGATGAGAAAGCTAAGACAAATAGGGTCAAGTAACTTGCCTAGAGTCAAACAGCTAGGTAGTGTTTGAGGCCAGGCCTGGTGCTCCATCCACTGTGTCACCTAGTTGCCCTATATGGGGATGAGGAGGCATCTCCTTGTGTTAAGTGTAACCATATCCTTATTGAATATCTTTGTTATGGTTAGAGCTAAGTAAACTTCCTTGTGTTAACTAATCAATGAACTGTAAGTTCCTTATTTCATCCCAGCATCAAATCTGAACTAACAAGGTGTCATTCTCAGTCAGATCTGACCCAGAAATAAATGTCCAAAGGATATGGATGAACATTTCTCAAAAGAAGAATTGTATACTGTTAACAAACCACATGGTCCCAAAGAAGAAGTAAAAAATATCTATTTGAATGTAGATACATATATATGTGTATACACATGTATATATGTGTATATCTCTGTACATAGATATGTATGTGTATGGGTGTATACACACCTTCCTTCCTTTGCAGAGCTAGGGAATGATAGGTTCAGAACACTGCCTGTATACTGACTCAGTTGGTTTGTTTGTTTAGTTTTACTAAACTGCTTCTTTTCACTATTATTCTTGCAAAAGATGGTTCTCTGGGTAAAAGGAGAAAGAGAAGAAAAGATATACATCTCATTAGAGACAGAAAGAAAAAAAGAGAGAGGAGGTGAATTTTTTTTCATTTTTAAACAACTATTTGAAACATTGCCCCAAATTACTAAAAATCAGAAATATAAATCAAAACAATTCTGAGGCTTCACCTCACTGCCAATAATTTGGCAAAAATAACAAAAGATAGGCATAACCAAGGTTGGAAGAACTGTATGAATACCAGCACACTAATATACTATTGGCAGAACTGTAAATGTCAGTGCATCCTGCAAAAGCAATGTTGAATTATGCTTTTAAAGAAGAAAAGTGTTTAGAATATCACTTTGACCCAAAGACTCTTCTCTTATAAATACAACCCAAGGAGGTCAAAGACGGAAAGAAGGTCCTGTGACCTAACCAAAATACACAGAGAGCACTTTTCATAGCATCAAAGAACTGGGAAGACACTTGATTGTCAGCAAGTGGGAAATTACTAAATAAATAAATAAATAATGGGATGTTGCTATGCCATATGTGATGACTATGAAGAATTCAGAGAAGTACAGGAGAACTTAAATTAACTAATACAAAATGAAGTAAACAGAATAAAGAATACACATATATGATTACAAATATGTAAGGAGAAAGAGAAGAGGAAAGGAAGGGAAGGGAAAGGAAGAAAAAGAAATAAAACATGATGTAATTAGAATCATTTAGCTTGGTCCTGAAAAAGAGATGAGAAAAGACATAACCCTCCATTCTTTGCAGAGGTAGGAGGATTATGGATATGTTGTCAGAGTTAGCTAACATATTGCTAATTTCTGCTGAACTGCTTTTCCCTTTTCTTTTTCATTCTTTGTTTTAAAAGATGGCTCACTAGGTAAAGAAGAAGAGATACTTTCAAAAATAAAAATTATATAAAAACAAAGGATCTTTTTTTTAATTTAAAAAGGAATAAAATGGAGACTATTTTGCACAAAGCACATAAAAAAGTTCCCACAATTCCTTTTTAGGGTTGAGCTATGGAATAATGTATTAAAGAACAGACAGAAAAAATAACCCAAAGTCAACCTATGCCTAATCATGAATTACTACCAGACTCTTATTAGCTAGAAAACTGACATAACCTCTTAGGGGTAAAAGAGCTATAAACCAGTCTTTCCAAATCCAGCTACCAAAAGTCTAGCACCATTTCCTAAAAGAAGAAATAAGAGGCAGCTTCAGACAGAGCTGAATAGCAATGAATTTGTGCTTCTTCCCCACTCCACACATGCACACTGGAAGAGCGTGACCATAGGACTGCAAGTCACAGGGAAAGTACAGGTCTCCACAGGGGTTGGTAGAAAGGTGGTACCCACTAGAAGGAGAAAGGAACTCTTGACTTTTATAGGTTCAGTGTCTCTTTTTTGTATAAACAAAACTTCTTTTCTGTTTGATATCTAGTGATCCTGCTGCTTATGAAGAGAGATAATATTCAGTCTCAGGACCACATCCTGAGGATAACCACCATTCAGAGAACTGGGAGTACTTATCCCAGGGAAGACTTGGGACTAGCACGTTCAAATATTTGGACAGTTATCATTAGAAGAAGGATTTACCATATTCTGCTTGGCACTGGAAAACAGAATCATAACCAAAGGATGAAAGTTACAAGGAGGTGGGTTTCAGTTCCATAGAATGAAATACTTTCTAGTAATTAGAGTTGTCCAAAAATGGGATATGCTACCTTAGAAGGCAGCAAGTTCCCCAGCACCAGAAATCCTCAAGCAAAGAATGCATGTCTTCTTGTTGTGGGTACTGCAAAGAGAAGCCATGCATAGACTGGGTAGAAGTTGACCCGGATAATTCCTAAAGTCCCTTCTAACTCTGAAGTTTTGTAATGTTACTGCTTAAAGTATGATATATTGGAAAGAGTCCTAGACTTGGATTCACAAGATCTGTGTTTGAATTCTGCCTTTGACACTAGCAGTGGAACCCAGGACAAGCTCTCTGAGCTTCAGTTCTTCATCTGTAAAATGGAAATAATAATACTGGCTCTCCCTACCTCACAGAGTTGTTGTAGGGAAAGTACTTTATAAACCTTAAAGTGTTATATAAATATGAGATATTAGTCTTGTCTAGGAAAATTTACTAAAGACAGTAAGATCCAAGATGGCAGTCATTGTTTCCTTTCCACCATGACTGTTATGAAATCTTACCATCTTATCTTGTAAGAGAACAGGAAGAAAATTATCTTTTCTACATTGCTAGTGTGATAGAACCAGTTAAAATCCTGTTTAATTTTCTATGGCAAAAGATATTGTAAAATT